GACGCCGTCACCGTCACACGGTCCACTCCGCTCAGCCTCCCCGTCGCAATCAGCCACTTTCCGGTTTCTCCACCTACTTGCCCGTGAAACACTCCATCGTTGTCGGCCATAAGAGTTACGGCATTTGATGTCGCCTCTGCGTAGCAAATGCCGGATGCATCCCGATAGCACGGCTAAGTATCCAGGAGTCCCTTGCCGACGCTTCGCAGGTTCTTCGGAAACTCCGCTGGGAAAGCAACGACTTCAGCTGCTCGACTGTTTGAGTATGGATTTCTGCAATATACCACTGGACGCACGCTTAGACAGCCTTGAAGCATACAGTTCTTCGCGGTAGGCTCCTCTGCTAGATGTCTTGTGAAACCACTTACAAACGGGTTGACCTCCAGGCGACCCGTACGGACAAGGCACCACATTCCGACGGGGAATGTGCAGGCAACGTCTTGCCGCTTACGATGACGAAAACACTTACGCTTGCCGCGACTCGGCCGCCCCACCTATGCTGGCCCTTTAGAAACGTCTAGCTGCCAGCATGACCGAAGACATGCGCCAAGTTGCGACCATGAAAGGCACTTCCTTTGTCGAAGTAATCCAATTGTCCCGGCTCGCTAACGACGCCAGCAGCGTGTCCTGGATGAGGAGCCGAAGCTCGCAAGCGTCGTTAACGTCGTCCTCCCCGGCGACATCGATTGATGGTCTATGTCGCTCTTGTACAATACTTCTCCCGCATCCTCATGGTGTGTCTTCTGGCTGTATCGTCTCCTTCCCGAGATGCGCCCCCTGTATGCGATATCTTCTAATACGTGGTTTTTTGAACACAGATGCATATGACTGGACCACCCGACATCAGTGCGGGCGCGCACATCCTGTGACTCCGCCGCCAGCCAAGAGAGGACAGAGACGGAAGTGTATCGCGGCGCCACGCTCACATCACGGAGTGGGAAGGTCCCTCACAGCTCTCCGGAAAGGGTCTTCTTGCGGTATGTTCATCATAGTCGCATGGTCATCTCATCCCAGTGTGCCCCATTCCGCAGCCAACGCTATAGACAAGCTCTCTTCTTCAGCTGGTGCGACGGAGCCGGACAATCCGCATCCGTCTGAGAAGCAACGGCTGTGCGTGCAGGTACTATTCGCCTCACGAGAGCGATTGACCGTCGAACCGCTTCGACGGCCCGTTGCATATGCGGCACACCCGGGATTGCGGCATGGATCTTCGCGTCCGCTCGACGTCTTCAGCCAGAAGACAGTGGATAAGGCCAGTTCGGAGCCATGGATCGTCCTTGCTTGCTCAAGTGCTCACCACGCTTCGCCGCTTCGTCTGGAGGCCAGGACCATCTGTTCTCGCGCATCGTGCAAGTTCGCGCCCAGAAGATCGCATGCCTCATCTGACCGCACCTACTTCCAGAAGACGCACACTCCCCTTAATTAGTCCCACTTCTATCTCTCTGTCGTGCGCTGTGATCAGGCTCACTTACAGAGAGCGGGATAGACTGCGCACTGTGCAACGTAGCGAAATCTTCAGTCTCTCTCCAGCTCTATCTCCCTGATGACGTCCGGACACAACCAATATGTTTCACCGATTGTTCACAAACTCCACAGGACGCTAGTTGTGTTCCGGCACCGGTTCCGCTGTCCTCCAGGATGTTTTGTTCGTATCAGAACACAGCGAACATGTCATGGGTGACTTGTCGCAGCTCAAGTGCGTAGCGCTCGCCTGCTTCTACGTTCTCTCATCGCGTATAACGGGTGACTGACGCACACGCAGTAGAAGCCAGCCGCAGAACGCATGGAACGCTTTCGGCGCGCACGGGCGTACCGGGACTCGGAACCCATCTGGTCCATCTTACCAGATCCAGGCAGCTTCTACAGGTGATGCGCATCCTAGTCGCCACCTGCTGCAACAGCAAGTCAAGGGGCAGCTCTTGAGCGCATGGAACCCATTCGATATCGGGTCGCTCGGCTTCAAGCTGGCCGGTCTGGGTAGCTTGAATGTCAGTCCTGCAGCCTTCGCCCATCTCCGAGATTGCTGACGTCAAATCGCTGAAGTATATCACAAAGTGACCGTATGGGACGAGCTTCCCCCGATTGCTGTGCAGAGGAGTAGAACGCTCCGAGGTCTAGATTGGGCGCGTCCTTTGGCAGTTGCGCGGGATAAGCGAAGAAACATTCTGAGAACATATATTATTTCGCAGGTGGCCAGGCCTGTTCCTTACAAGTGGAGAGGACCCGACGGTGTTTACACGAAGGGTGGGTAACATTCTTCCGCCGACAGACGAAGAACCAACAACGTCAGGCAAGCACGAGACCGTACGACCTTTGCCATTTGTAGACGACACTGCGTAGGTGAGCTCTTCCGCCGGTTGAATGGAACTGCACCTTTCGTTAGTGTGGAGGACTAGGCGATTTCCGTTCACAGACGATAACTTGATGTGATGCACACGTACTTGTAGGGTACAGTACCGCTACGCACGCTGCCTACCGCATCAACGCAGTGTGTTTAATCCGAGACGAACTTGTGACGGTCCTGGCCTCAGGCTGCGTCATTCTGCCGCTCTCGTGCCCCCCGGCGCAGCCGATGATGAAGCGTCCCTCACTGCGCAAACGACAACAAGGGCTCCGACAGGAAGCGGAGCCCTCGTGAGCTCGGCCTCCACAGGAACAGAGTCGGGCGTGCAGCAGAGATCATACCGAGCGTCTTCGTACAGAGCCTCAAGGGCCGCTGCACTCTTGATGCGGCCGTCACCGTGCTGGACCGTCCGTTGAACAAGTGGGAAGCAGTGAGCATGGGTTCGGAGAGGCGTATCGGTGGGAGCTAGTGGGACGCCATGCTCCTGCGGCCTGGGGAGTGCCCCGGCCCCCGACGGGCGGCCGTTCATCTGGCGACAGCCGAGCGAGATTGATACTTAAGAACACGCGAGGGAGAGAGGTACGCGGCTAAGTAGTAACGTACGCTGGTACTAAGTAAGCGTGCAATACTGTACGTCCGAAATGACAGGTTGCATCTTGGCAACCGAGTATCCGAGTTAGCATGCTTGAGTCTGACTGCTGTGGCGGCAGGGGAGGAGGCATCGGCAGGGTACGTACGTGGAGAAGTCGGCGTTCAGCCTGTCCCCGGTGTGGCAGCGGCGCGTCCCGCCCAGCGGCCGACGCCGTGCTTGTTGGGAGGAGGTTCAACTTCAGCCGGAGGGTTGTCTTTATCTTGGCCATATCTTTACGATGGTCCCATTGTGCGGCTCGGCAGTGAATCTGACCAGCACATCGACAAAGCTGCCTGTGTGGAACTTCATGGCTGCAGGTAAGCAGTAAGTAACGAGGGAATTGTAAAATATGACAGTTCAAGGGTCTCCGAAACTTACAGTGTTACACGAGATGTCCGAAGATCGCTAAGACATGCACGACGACCGGCTGTGTCCTTCGTCTCGGCCGTTCTAGTCTTCACGGCACGACGGAGGGGAGGGACTGAGCAGCTTGAGGACAAAGACAACGCTGGACAACGTCATGATCATCGAAGCGGGAGAAGGGGACCGTATACTGTAGAGTTTCGACCGATGCGGCGCGTGCCCGTCTCACTCGGGTATCGAGGAGAACGACGCGATCGATGCGGACGTCAAGCACACCGCGCGGTACACGACATGGCGACAGCTTCCGTGCTATGGTCGTACCTTCCCGACCTCCTACGCATTCGTCAAGCACTCCATCACCGATTATGCCACGACGACATGGCAAGAGGAGGCCGACGCGAGCCCCAGGAAGTACTGGGGTCGACAACACCTCTCTCACCCCGCATTCCGCCGCCTTCGACACACGGGCGCGTTCCCCCTCAAGCGTCTCGGCGGGCGGCCGACACTTGTCTCGCGCTTCATTCGCTGCATCACCGGACACGCCCCAACAGGCCAGTACCGCGACCGTTTCCGATACCGGCACGGAGAACCAACCATGTGCGTTTTGCACTCCGGCGAGTGGGCCTACCACACCCACGAGCACATCCTATTCCACTGCGACTACTATACGCGTCGCTACCGCCACTCCTCCATCGAAGACCTCCTCCAATCCCTTGATCCCTTCTACGACATCCAACACTTTCTCCTAGATAACCCGACCACCTTCTCGTTTGAGGATGCGCCGTGTTATGACTAGGAGCCTTTGCGCACTCTCCCCACCCATCTAAGCTCGTCTCGAGCTGGCATTCGCATATATGTTTGCGGGGGTCATTCAAAAACCCCGCTCCCTCTAGCAGACGGCTGTCAAAGCACTGCTTGTATTTGTGTTGGCCAGTACGTAGAGCAGACATGTACTTAGCTACCGCCCTATACCAGTGATCAAAAAAAAAAATCAAAAAAAAGACCGATGCGGCGCGTCACAGGTCACAGGGACCTCCGCCGCACCGCATCGTGCTGTAGGTCACAGGTCACGGCCCCTTTGGGGCCCCCATTTTCGCGTTTTGGCTCGGTTTTCGGGCGTTTATCAGGCCAAATCAGGCAAATTTTGGGCGCCTCCGCTCCGCTCCGGCGACTGCGGGCGGTTACAGGTCACACCCCGCTGGGGCCTGCACCGCATCGGTCGAAACTCTACAGTACTCGCGACGCTGTCTTCAACCACGTAGGTTGCTAGCCAGACCAACCTACATACAATGCGTGGAAGCATCAGCAAATGCCCTTTGTCGTCATCGTGACGGTAGTAATGAGTACCTGACCTTCAGAGATCAGGCTCGGCAACCGGACGTCGAGCCCATTGTACATGGAAGTACACGGGTGAGCTAGACGCAAGTCGTAGCTAGGGCTCCAAGTCTAGGGCAAGCTTCGGCCTGGATCACACTAGTGTCGTGTGCCTCTCCTGCCAGTGAAACAGTGGACTAGGAAGAACCCCATGTCAGCATGGGCACGAGATCATGGTGCGATTTATAGAAGAACTCGTTTGGGAGGCCAGTACTTTAACTTATGTACGCAGGATCAGGGCAGTCTGACTGCGTAGATCATAAACTTGCTTGAAGCCAATTTATTATCGGTTCAGTGGTGTAGTTGGTTATCACGTCTGTCTCACATCCGTCATTGCGGATTTCAAAGTGTGTTGTAGGGGTTCACAGGAGGTCTCCGGTTCGAGCCCGGACTGAACCATTTTGTTGCCATTTCGTTCCCACCGGCACAATGGATTATGGAATCGCCTTATGGAGTGCGATATACAATCTGGAACCATGCAGGAAGTACAGAAGAAGGAAAGCATTCGTTGAACCCAACGCTCGGCCTGATGCCGACTAAATCTGTGCAAGGCATCGGCCTCGAAGCGCTTGAAGTCTGCAAGGATACAACAGTCCTTTGGAACGGAAAAGCGGAACTCCCGAGTCCGCTCACTGCTCTAGGTCTGTCCTCGATACGGCCATCAATTCAGCACAGCTGCAGTACTGCACACGCATTTAGCGGACTACCAGCAACCTATTCACGGTGGAGGTCAGACTCGAGGACGTCACCTGTGTAGCAATCCACATACCTGATTGACTAAGGGAAGAAGTCGAAGCCCTTGCGTCCCTCGCGAGATATCTCCTCCTGCCGGTATTCATCAGCAAAGCTCTTGAGCCATTCAGGGCTCAACGCTTTCCGCCAAGGTCCGCGTCCGTTAACCGCAAGCTCGTGGTCAGCGATGTCCAGTAGGTAGGAATGGAAGTTGTAGATGATCTCGACGGCTTCCTTGGTCAAAGGCTGTCGACCTTGGCGGACCACGTAACACTGCAGCGAGAACGTTTAGATCCCGGGGCATAACTTGAATCCCGGCCGCTCACTCACCGTCCCTGGTTCGTTGATCTGCCAGCTACCGGCGGAGACGTCTTCTGGTCAGTCGAAGCAATCAAGCCATCATAGTGGGGTATACGCACTGTATAGGCGCGAACCCGTCGTGGGGCTCTATGCGAAGGTACACGGCAGGTTGATTGTTCTCTTGAGCGGGGACGCCACCATGGATAGAGTCGCTGTATATCAGCAGGGGGTAGCCGCACTTCTCTGTCACGGGGCATAGCTCGCCCTTCGTGAAGATGGGATGGGAGGTGTTGAGGAGGACGTGTTTGAACTGGCTGGACCACGGTTGGTGTCGGTTGTCGAGTATTTTGATGCCCCAGACCTCGTCCGGACCTATGGGACGGCACATCGGCTTGTGTACCTTCCAGTGCGCCTTCTGGCATTCAGGAGACTGCAGGAGTAATACGTTGACTTCATGAATGTCAGGTTGGCGAACGCTTGTACAAGTACATACGCAGTAGACACCGGTGGCTCCATGACAGCCAGAGCATTTCTTAAGCCCGTCTGCGGGGACTTTTCCACACTTCGAGCAACGACTCAAGGGCATAGACTTGCGAAAGCATTGCTCAGTGTCATAAAGTCATGCGGAACGAGCCACTTACTTTGACAGATGACTCGAGGACGAGATGCCGGGTGTGTTGAAAAGCACAGGCCCGTGATGAGCTTACCGATTGGTATTTGCGGCAGTTGTAGAGGATGTCGGAGGTTCGGGCAGATTCTGGATAGTCCACAGATGCCGTACACTGTGGGCATTTTAGCCACAAGTCCACGAAATTATCGTGAACTCATCGTGAATTGTGACATAGAATCGCCTTTTATAGGAATTTATTGTCAAAGTTCATGATGTCTTCACGATCAGTTCCAGGATTTTTGGCCTAAAGGCCCATAGTGGTACTCAATGGGTTGTTAATGGTTGGTCACTGGGCCACAATGAAGTGGAAAGAGTAAGCAGCACAAGCGCGGCACCATGTACATATGTAGGCGGCACTGCGGCACAGCCCTCCAGAACTGCTGGAGGATCGCGGCGTCTCTCGCTCTGCATGCTTCAACTTCTCACCGTGTCCTCCCTCTACCCACTTGAAGGGTGAACAGTGTTGCAAACCTGTTCTGTTCTGACGAATCCACGCCACGAACATTCCATCGTCACGCGCGACGACCATGAGCGCAACGATACAGTCACGACCACTTGTCCCGCACATTCCGACAAGCTGTTCGCAATGTTCGGTCACTCTAGAGTTCCCTGTGCCATCACCAGCACCTCGACCAGGGACCTTGCTCAATGTCAGATGCTACAGCTGCCAGTTCATCATCACGCATGCGTTCTATCCTGCGCAGATACCGAGCCAGTATACGGAGAGGGTTGGCTCAACAGTAGGGGCGGGGAATGGGAGCGGCGCGTCATCATCACAGACACCGCGGAAAGGGAGGAAGATTGGGACGCAGGAGAAACCGTTGGAAACCGGGTATTACGACTTGCTCGGGGTCCCCGTGGACGCGAGTACAGACGACATCAAGAAGGCATATCGTACGTTCTCCTCCTTAACCTCTCCGCGCTGCCCTATCCCCTCCTTCCCTGGCATGGCTGCTTATGACGATCCCTGAGCACCATCTTTGCTCCAGGTCGACTTGCGATAAAGCACCATCCGGACAAGAACCGTGACGACCCGCATGCGGAGGAGCGCTTCAAAGAGATTGCGATTGCGTACCAGACGCTGTCCGATCCCGAGCTACGCCGCAAGTACAACGAGTTTGGGCCCAAGGAGAGTGCACCGGAAGGCGGCTTTGTGGACCCGGAGGAGATCTTCGGGACCATCTTCGGCGGAGAGCGTTTCGTGCCCATCATTGGCAACATAAGCCTGGCGAAGGACATGAAGGCGGCATTGCAGGAGGAGGCCGAGGAAGGAGAGGAGGTGCAGCGCGATTCGAAGGGTCGGGAGATACTGAGTCCAGAGGAGAAGGCGAAGAAGGACGAGAAGGCGCGCAAGCAGGCGGCGGAGGTGAGTGCTTTGCTCGAACATATCGTTGGCTTAGGTCTGATATTCGCCTATCAGAAAGCGGCCGCTCGAGCGGAGCGGATATCCAAGCTGGTGGAGAATTTGGACCGCAAATTGTCAATATTCACCGAGTCCGCCGCGGGTCCCAACGATCCGCAAGTCACGGAGAGCTTCCGGACCATCTGCAAGCTGGAGGCGGAGGAGCTGAAGAAGGAGTCTTACGGCGTCGACCTGCTTCATGCTATCGGCTTTGTTTATTCGCAGAAGGCGAAGCAGTATCTGGCTGCAAACCAGTCGTTCCTCGGCATGGGCGGCTGGCTGCATAACGTGCAGGGCAAGTACCACGTATTCAGCGAAACGTACGTGCTACTCACTTCGCATATCGAAAATTGTGCTGAAGAAGGATATCATTATGCAGTGTCTCGACACTTCGCGCAGCGATGGAGCTGAAGAACGTGTTCGAACAAATTCAGGCCGCTGAGAAGGCAGGTAACCTCACCCCGGAAGAGAAGCGACGACTCGAAGAGCAGGCGGCAGAGAAGGGTCTGCAGGCTCTCTTCAAGGTATGGTGCTTTCTTGTCTTCCTACATTCACGTAACTCATCAGCCCTCCGCGTACAGGGCACCAAACTCGAGATCGAGTCGGTGCTGCGTGAGACATGCGATCGGATCCTCGAGGACCCCAGTATCCCACGTCAGCGAGCGCAACTGCGCGCCGTCGCTCTGCAGATTCTTGGCGATGCGTACATGAGCGTGCGCAAGGACGAGGACGAGGCACAGGAGGAGAGCGAGTATGTGCGTGTGGAGACGAACAACAGCCGGAAGAGGGACTCGTTCCGTCCGCCGCCTATGTCCCCGAAGGCGTGAGCCGCCCTGTGTACTCGGGCCATCTGCCTGCTTCGGATAGTGTACAGTACCGTCATATGTTAGATATGTAGCTATATGCATGCCATCCGTGTCGATGACCCAAGTGGCGAGGAGCGCAAGTATTGGCCCGGTCCTACCTTACATGAATGCGACTTTAAGTTGGTGTCACCCGAATGAGGCCATGCTGGTCGTCGTGGTAATCGTAGCCAGGCAGCGCCGCGCACGTCGTACTGGCCGTCGATACTAAGGTCTAGTTAGGTAGCTGCGCCCCGCAACGCGTCGGTGGCGCGTCGCGTCGCGTTCAGACTCCGCCTGAAACCGTGTCTGTCACGTGGGGGATCCTAGGACATCTCGCAATGCACGCCCTTGACCAGTCCGCATCCTTGCATCTCTACCGCCACAATCGCCACTACGCTTTGTCTACATTGCCGCATACATCTCTATCTTCATGTTGTCTGACTGGGAGTCAAGCCTTACCGAGCTTTCGTCCGACGAGGACGAGTACGTGCCCTCGAAAGCGTCTAAGAAGAAGAAGGCGCCCCCTCGACAGGCGAAGAGTGAATACAAGGCGAGTGGCTCACACGCACTGGTGACAAATGTTGTGATTGATCTTACATGTGTGTCTACGCGTAGGTTACGAATTCCCTCAGACCGTACCGCACGACGACATATACCGCCAAGAGCCTGTACGGTACGTCGCGAGTGGGCTAGCAACTCCTGAACGACACATGTCAACGGCGCGGCCTTGCAGATCAGATAATCGACAACACTATACATCTCGATCCGGAGTATCAAAGAGGTTCGCGTTGTCGCGCATATACCACGTTGTTCATGCGAAATTGACAAATCCTGTCAAGACATCGTTTGGAGCGAAGCCAAGCAGTCCGGACTCATAGATTCTATACTCAGGAATTTCTACATACCCCCCGTACTCTTCGGTGCGTGGCAAGCCCATCATCTTTGTGCGCAGACATCCTGATACTTTGTGAAGCGGTCACGGCACATGATGATGGCAGTCAGACCCGTGTTTGCATTGACGGCAAGCAGAGGTTAACTTCAATACAACTGTGAGTGTCCTTTCAGTTCAGTGCTTCTTGTTTGCGTGTCATCGTTACCTCCCTCTGCCATCCGAAATGCGTCGAAAGCTACCGGGTAGTCGAGGCAGGTACGTGCCGCTATGCACCGTTTCATTCCACCACCCCGCCGAAGTGCTTTCAGCCAAGGGCATAGTCGACCAGATCTATGTATAGATCGATATTCACATGCAGTCGTATATGGTGCAGCTGCACTGGTGGCTGGCGCGTGACGTGCAAAACAACTGTCTGGTCGGTGTCGGGTCTTGGACTCAGAGTCCTCTGCTTGCTCCCGACCCGGCCAAGCAAGTCCATCTACCTGATCCTTCGAAACTCGTATCATGCTTGAATAGGTTCGCCACCGCCGGTTTGATGTGACATCTATCGTAGGCAGG